TTTGCCGTGGAGGATCGAAGGAGTTGCCATCTCTTCCGCGGCGGAAGGCGGCGCACGGGCAACGGAAGGTCGGCGGAAGTAAACCGAGGCCGCCCCCGCCGGCGGAAGCCGCCGGAAGCCCGCGGAAGGGCGGCGGAGATACAGGATGTGCCCCCGGGAGATGAGAACGTTTTTGGGGTCCAGGGTTTCCGAAGTCGCCCCCATGATTTAGTCGGGCCTGTCCCTCTTCAGGAGGAATATACAAAAAATAGTCAAACAATAGTCTGGGGACGATTTTTCGTTTCCAGTATTTTTTCGACCATGTTGGAGTCTTGTTGGCCTATTTTTTATTTTTCGTCCAAGCTCCCCCCCTGTAGGACAGGCCCGACTTGACCCTGTGAGCAGAGATCGGTGCTCGGGGCCCACGCTGGCCGACACGTTGGCTGACACGCCGATTGAGGGATTGGCCGTTTTCGGTTCGCGAGAGGGCGCCGGGGCCCGTCCCCTTTTGCGGAGCAGTCGTTCGGTTTCGGTCCCAGGCCGGGAGATTTCACAAAGGGAGTGTGACTAGAGGGAGCTTTTTTTTTTTTTTTGTTATGTTTTCTTTTTTTTTTTTTTTATTTTTATTTTTTTATTTGGTGTTGTTTTTTTTATTTTTTTTTTTTTTTTTTTTTTTCTTTTTTTTTTTTTTTTTACTTTTTTTTGTCCCCCGCCGATTGAGGAAACTGGGCCTGGTTGTCGGCCCGCACGGCTTGCTGGACCCACCCGTCGCAAGCCGTCCCTGGTCACGATTCTGGAGCGTACGGTGGCATTTTTTATTTTTTTTTAGTTTTCTTTTTTTTTCTTTTTCTTTTTCTCTTTTTCGTTTTTTGCGTTCCGCAGTTCATACTGTAAGTTCTGACTTTTCGGAAGCGGTGCTTGCACTTGGGGTCTCTGCTCTGCTGAGGTATAGCTGGGCCCCGGTGTCCGTCTGGGCGGCTTTCTGGCCGCCCACCGCCGACGTCCGTCGCCGCCTTCGGCACTGGGCCCGGGTGCTGGTCCGGCTGCCTGGCAGGCTTGGTATTTGCTCGCGCTGCTTTGCATTGCTTTGCACGGTTTTGCTGTGTTTTGCACTGCTCTGCGTTGCTTCGCACTGCGTTACACGGCTTTGCACAGCTTTTCGTTGCTTTTTTTTTTTTTTTTTGTTTTTTTTTTTTTTGTTTCTTAGTTTTTTTTGTTTTTTTTTTTTTTTTTTTTTTTTTTTTTTTTTTTTTTTTTTTTTTTTTTTATTTTTTTTTTTTTTTTTTTTTTTTAGTTTTGTTTTTGTTTTTTTTATTTTTTTTTTTTTTCTTTTGTCTTTTTTTTTGCACTGCTCTGCATTGATTTGTCATCGCGTTTTCATTGCTTTGCATTGCTTTGCGTCTCCTTGATTGCGCCACACGGATTGCACCACCTAGATTGCGCCACAATTGTTGCACCACCCAGATTGCGCCGCGTATGAGGGGCGTTCCAGAAAGGGCTTTGCCGTGGAGGATCGAAGGAGTTGCCATCTCTTCCGCGGCGGAAGGCGGCGCACGGGCAACGGAAGGTCGGCGGAAGTAAACCGAGGCCGCCCCCGCCGGCGGAAGCCGCCGGAAGCCCGCGGAAGGGCGGCGGAGATACAGGATGTGCCCCCGGGAGATGAGAACGTTTTTGGGGTCCAGGGTTTCCGAAGTCGCCCCTATGATTTAGTCGGGCCTGTCCCTCTACAGGAGGAATATACAAAAAATAGTCAAACAATAGTCTGGGGACGATTTTTCGTTTCCAGTATTTTTTCGACCATGTTGGAGTCTTGTTGGCCCATTTTTTATTTTTCGTCCAAGCTCCCCCCCTGTAGGACAGGCCCGACTTGACCCTGTGAGCAGAGATCGGTGCTCGGGGCCCACGCTGGCCGACACGTTGGCTGACACGCCGATTGAGGGATTGGCCGTTTTCGGTTCGCGAGAGGGCGCCGTGGCCGTCCTTTTTGCGGGTGCAGGTCCGTCGGTTTCGGTCCCAGGCCGGTTTCACCAAGGGGAGGTTTACTAGAGGGAGCTTTGTCCACCGCCGATTGAGGAACTGGGCCTGGTTGTCGGCCCCGCAGGCTTGCGGCCGCCCGTTGCCGCCGTCCCTGGTCACGATTCTGAGCGTACGGTGCTTGCGTTCCGAAATTCATACTTTAAGTTCTGACTTTTCGGAAGCGGTGCTTGCACTTGGGGTCTCTGCTCTGCTGAGGTATAGCTGGGCCCCGGTGTCCGTCTGGGCGGCTTTCTGGCCGCCCGTCGCCGACGTCCGTCGCCGCCTTCTGCATCGGGCCCGGGTGCTGGTCCGGCTGCCTGGCACGCTTTGTATTTGCTGGCTGACACGCTGGCTGACACGCTGGCTGACACGCTGGCTGACACGCTGGCTGACACGCTGGCTGACACGCTGGCTGACACGCTGGCCGACACGTTGCTTCCCTCCCACCTCTCCGCATGTCGGGGGGGGGGGCCTCGCCGGGGCCGCTCGCCCGGGCCCCGCCCACGGCGCCCGGGCACACCCCCGGGGGCTCCGGCGTCGGCCCCCCGCGGTCCGAGACCGCATTCTTTGCCTGTCGCCTCCTCTCCTCCTCCTCCTCCTCCCTCTCCTTCCGACTCCTCAACTCCTCCTCCTCCTCAAACGCTCATCCCTCCTTCTCTTCCTCCTCACTCCTCCTCCTCCTCCTCCTCCTCCTCCTACTTCCCCCTTTCCTTCTTCCTCCTCTTCCTCCTCTCTCTTTCCTCCTCCTCCTCCTCCTCCCCTCCTCCTCCTTTCCTCCTCTTTTCCCCTCCTCCTCCTCCTCCTCCTCCTCCTCCTCCTCTTCCTCCTCCTCCTCCTCCTCCTCTCCTCTCACTCCTCTTGCCTCCTCAGTCCCTCTCCTCCTCCTCCTCCTCCTCCTTCCTCCTCTCCTCTCTTCCTCCTCCTCTCCTCCTCCTCCTCCTCTTTCTCCTCCTCCTCTCCCTCCTCCCCTCCTCCTCCTCCCTTCCTGTTCCTCTTACACCTCGTAGAGGGCCTGCAGCCACGCGGTGAGAGCTGCGAAGCTTGCCGTGGGCCTCCGGCGGCCGAGGGCCCACCGAGAGCGCCGGGGGCCCCGTCGTTCTCGGGGTTCCCAGGTCCCCCGCGATAGGGCGCGGAGGCGATCGCGCAGGGGCTCGAGCGGGACGGTGCCGTGGCGAGGAGGAGGAGGAGGAGGAGGAGGAGGAGGAGGAGGAGGAGGAGGTGGAGGAGGAGGAGGAGGAGGAGGGCCGCTCTCGCGTCTTGATCTCGGCCTCGGCAGCAGAGGCAGAGCAGTCGGGGGTGGACAGAGCCCCCAGCAGTGGCACGTCGATGAGCGGATGGTCCGTTTTCGGTTCTCGAGAGGGCGCCGTGGCCGTGAACTTATTTTCCAGGCTTGCGCCCGCCAGGTTTGGGTCTCAGGTCGTTTTCACTAAGCCACGTTTTACTAAAGGGGGGTCTGTCCACCCCCGAAACAGAGGCAGAGCGAAGAGCAGCGGGAACAGCACGAGAGCGAACAGCGCGAGAGCGAGCAGCACGAGGGTGAGCAGTTCGAGAGCGAACCGCAGGCGAGCGAGGTCGCTCCTCGCGCGCTGCGGCCCGGGCCGACGAGCCGCCCCTCCTCCAAGGGGGTCCCGCGCCGAGCGCGCGGAGGGAGGGCCGCGGGGCGCGGTGCGCAGAGACGGCCGGTCGGGAGCTTCCTTGGCTTTCAGTCGGGCCTGCCCCTCTACAGGAGGAATCTTCACAAGCAGGTTAAAACACAGTCTGGGGACGACCGTCCTGTGATTGTTTCGTTCTGTGTGTGCATCGTTGCTGGACTGTTTGTCACTTTCTTCCACCACCCGCCTGTAGGAGGACATGCCCGGGCCAACTTTTGCTTCGCGTGCCGCGCCGCCGGTTCGGGCTCATCGCGCCTCGGCGCGACACGGCATCCTCCTCGCCACTGGGGCCAGAGCAGGGAAAGGTACCGGTACCGCTACCCTCCCGTCGTTTCCCCTTCTCTGGACCTCCTGGGAGGCCCTCGTCGCCACCGTTGGACTCGCCTCGGGATTTTGGTCCGAATGCACCCCGGGAGAGGTTCGAGGAGCAGCGGTATCGGTACCTTTTGGTGGTTTCCCCAATCGGGGGAAGCGAAGCGGGTCCTGAGGGAACCGGGTCCTCAGGCTTTCCGTTGCCTGCAGGCTCTGGGGGCCCTCCACGGGCTCCAGGGGATGTGTCAGAGCACGGCTCGGGAGGAAGCGCTCGTCTTGGGCTTGGCATCGCTCGGACGTGTGCATTTTTCCCTCGGCGAGGGCCATCGAGGAGCATCCTTGATCACGTGGCGGATTACCACGCACGAAACCGCCACAAAAACACAGGGAGAGGACGTCCGAGCGATGGCGAGGGGGGGAAGGCCCCGGCGGCCCAGGACCCGCTTCCCTCGGGACCCGCTGTCGTCCACGCCCCGGTCTCCAGGCGTCGGCGCCCCGAGGTCCTCCCCCGCCTCCCGCCCCCGCGGAGCGGAGCGGCTCGCGCGGTCGGCCCGCACGCGGCGTGTCGCCCGGGCCGCCGCGGCGGCACGCCAAGCGCGAGAGAGTTCCTGACCGCAAGGTGTCAGGAGGGGAAAAAACACACAGACACAATGAATCGTCGATTCCCAAGAAAATGTAGGAAAATGTGGGAATTGGGGGGGAAGACAGAAACCCAGAAAAGATGGGAAAATATGGGGGATCTTTTTGTTTGTGTGTACTTCTTTGTGTGTTTGTGGGCCCCTTCAAGGTGGCCCAGCGAGCTGCGTGGCCGGCCATGGGGTCCGCTCCAAAGCAGTCCCGGGGCTCCCCCCCGGCTGGCGGCCAGCGGGACCAGTCTCTGGGGAGGCGGAAAAGAGGGGGTGATGACTAGGGGGGGGTAGATATCATGGCGTCGCGACCCCCTGGATCGCGGGATTCGGGGATGGGGTCGGGACTGGGGGTGGGGGTGGGCTTTCGCTTTCTCATTCCTGGGCCCAGGAGCTGAGTGTACCCCGCAGTTGCGTTAGATACACCGGCGGCTTGGCTCGGGATGGGCCTGGCCAGGGATCGGGGGCGGAAAAGAGGGGGGTGATGACTAGGGGGGGTAGATATCATGGCGTCGGCCATGATATTTCCCCAGATTTCATGGCGCCTCTTCTTGTTTCATTACGTTCCTGGCCCCCCCGCTGGGCCGCGCACATGCCGCCGGTCATGATTTGCACCCCCCCCTCTTGGACACCCCCCTCTTGGCCGCTCCCGAAGTCTCTGGGGAGGCGGAGCCGGCCGCGGCGACGAGGAGAGGCCGGGAGGTCCGGAGGATCCCGATCTCGGCCCTCCTCCGAGCTCGTGCTCGCCCGGCCCTCGCCACCAGAGCTCTTCGCCGCAGGCGCTGGCGCTCAGACCTGGCTGTCTCCAGACCTCCCAGAGGGGGTCGAAGCAGACGGGGCGGGAGCATCGCGCCGCATCGCCGACGCATCGCGGATGCGGCTCGGTGTGGAACCCGATTGTCTCCGCGCTGGCGTCGCCGATGCGGCGCGACCCCCTGACCTGGTTGGTCCTTCGAGACGGCAGGGCCGTTTTTTACTGTCTTCAGGGATCTTGATCTTGATGTTGAAAACGGTAAGAGAAGGTTCGCCAGAACGGGTTGAAGCTGGAGCCGGAACCGCAGCAAACGAGCGGCGACGGAGCGCCAGAGCAAACACCGCAGGAGCTGGAGCACCAGCGGCAGAACGAGCACGCACAAAACGACAGCTCTGCCGTTTCCAAGAACCGTTGAGCTTCCGACCCCATCGACTCGGACCCCACCTGGGCGACGAACAAAAGACGGGCTCGACTGCGCCGACGTGCGCGCGCGAGCTGCTCGCGTAAGCTCGCGCGTGAGCGCCCTCGTCTCCGCTGTGGCCTTCCTGCGCCGGCGGCCACGTCGCAAGCCACCTTCGCGAGGTCGCTGATGGCATCTCGCGCGAGGCCCCTCTCTCTTCGTCGCTCCTCTGGGAGGTCTCCACTGGCGGGACCGCCCGTGGGCGATCACCTGCCTGCCTGCGACCATGGCGCCGCGCCGCCCCGGGCGCGCCCTGCTGGCCGGCGCGGCCGCGCTCTCGGCCGCGTGGGTGGCCCGCGTCGCGTTCGTCCCCGCGCCGCACGCCGCGCCGGCGCCCCAGGCCCTCAGGTGATGTTACAGCGCCGTATGCGTGTGCTGGTTTTTGCTGTTATTCGTTATGTGATTGTTGTTGTTGTTGCTGTTGGTGCTGTTGTTGTTATTGTTGTTGCTGTTGTTGTTTGTTGTTTGTTGTTGTTGTTTGTTGTTTGTTGTTTGTTGTTTGTTGGTTGTTGTTTGTTGTTTGTTGTTGTTAGTATTGAACTCTCATTGCTGCTAGTTACTGTTGATCCCCCCTCCAGTGACCATTGTGTTTTTCCAATTGAAGTGCTTCTCCCGGGGCTCGCACCTTATTTTTTATCAAGGAAAGACACGGGGTTCAAACTGCGTTGTTGGCCCCCGAACTACAAGAACAACGGCTCCCTCTTGATACCTCCTCAGTTTTTTTTCCCAAATCGCGCTCTCGCACGGGACTTCCTTACAATTTGTATACGAATCGCGCTCTCGCGTGGGACTTCCTCACAATTCATTCAGACGATGCGCCCTCGGCGCTCAGGAATCACGCTCTCGCTTTGGCTTTTCTCACGATTTACTTGGGAATCGCGCTATCGCTCGAGACGTCCTCGCGATTCATGCAGGACCTACGCTTCAGCAACCCGCCTGCTCGACCTGGTCGCCTGGGCCCGCCTTTCCGACCTGCCCGCTACGGGTCTGCCCACCCGATCTGCCCGTCTTGTTCTACCATGTGTTTTCTGCTCCATGCCCCCCTCCTGCTAATTTCTCTCGTGCTCCATTCTTCTCCCTTCCCCTTCCACCCGTCTTTTCTTCGTTTGCTTTAGGGGCTGCACTAAGTGCACGTGGCAGGTAAGGACGATATACCCCAAGGGGGTACGATCGAATACGAAGAGGGCGGTGTACCGATGGTTTGGGATATACGTATTGATTGGCACGTGATCAAATGGGAGCGAGCAGTCTTAAACTGATTGTTGTTGTTATTATTGTTTGTTTGGTGTTGTTGTTCTTGTTGATGGTGTTGTTGCTGTTGTCAGTGTTGTTGTTGTTGTTGCTGTTATTGGTGTTGTTGTTGGTGGTGTTGTTGTGGTTGGTGCTGTTGTTGTTGTTGTCGTCGTCGTCGTCGTCGTCGTCGTCGTCGTCGTCGTCGTCGTCGTTGTTGTTGTTGTTGTTGTTGTTGTTGTTGTTGTTGTTGTTGTTGTTGTTGTTGTTATTGTTGGTGTTGTTGTTGTTGAACTCATTTCTGAAGAATAATTATTGCTGATCCCCCCTCACCGGTGCATGCTGTTTTTCTCAATCAAAGTGTGCCCCTCGACGCTCGCACTCTGTTTTTTGACAGGGAAAGTCTTGGTGCTCAAACTGTGCCCCTTGCCCCCCGGACTACAGCAACAACGGCTCCCGCCTGAGAATTCCTCCAAATTTACTCAGGACCCCCGCTCCCGCCTGAGATTTCTTCACACTTTACTCAGGATCGGTACTCTCGCTGTGACTTCCTCGCAATTTAGTCAGGACCCCCGCTCCCATCTGAGATTTCCTTCCCCACAATTTACTCAGGAACGGCGCTCCCGCTTCAGACTTCCTCGTACTTGTATCAAGACTTCCTCGCAATTTAATCAAGACCCCCGCTCCTGCCAGAGAACCCCTCACATGTTATTCAGGAATGGCGCTGTCGCCTGTGACTTCCATGCAATTTATTCAGAAATCGTGATTTTGACGCTCAGGAAACACGCTGCGCCAAGGACGCCGTCACAATTTACTTAGGAATCGCGCTCTCGCCATACTCAGGTGTCCCGCTTGAATGTCCCACCCGCCCGACCCGCCCGTCAGGGGATCGTCCGCCCGTCGTGAGCTCCCGCCCGAGACTTCCTTCAGGAACGGCGCTTTCGTCTAGGACTTCCTCGAACGTTCACGCTCTTACCTTCCTGCTCCTCCTCCCTCTCCCTCCTCCCTCCTCCCTCCTGTACTCTCTTCTCTCTCCCTCATCTCTTCCCTCATCCTTATGCCTCTCTGCCCTATCCCCTCTCCCTCCTCTCCCTCCTCCCCTCTCCCTCCCCTCTCCTGCCTCCTCCCTCCCTCTTTTTTTGTTTCTGTCTTTCTCTCCCCTCTCTCTCTTGTTTCTCTACCTCTCTTTTATTTGTATTCCTTTCTCACCCTGTCTCTCTGCCTCTAATCAACCGCCCCCCTCTTCGCTCCTTCTCTCCTGGCGTTTTCCCTCTTCCTTCGTCCCTCCCCCTCTCTTCCTCTGACTCTCCCTCGTTCTCCTCTTCCTCTTTTCGCAGGGCCCACACCAATTCCAATGGCGGACACATGTACGCCCACGAAGGATTGTCCGCCCGTTCAGGTTTGCCCGCCTGTCTAAGCCCGCCGCCCCCCGCAAAGAGAAAGAATCACCCCGAAGGGGGTGTGATCGAAGACAAAAAGGGCGGGTATCGAGGGTGTGGGGAACTCGTTTTGAACGACACGCGGGCAAGTAAGAGCGAACAGTCTTATAATGACTGTTATTGTTGTTGTTGTTGCTGTTGTGTGTATGCGTGTATGTGTGTGTGTGTGGATCCACGTCTGGGTGGCTCTCCTCCTCCTCCGCTCCTCCGCGCAGCCGCCCTCGTCTTTTTCCCTTCTCTTGCCCGCCGGCCAATTCGCCGCTCGGTTGCCCCGGATCGCCACCCGATGGAGCAGCTCCTCTGCCTCGCCGCCGATGGAAAAAAGTGTGTTCCGTTGTTTCTAGTGTTTCCTTCTTTGCATGTTCAGGATCGCCTTGCTTGTGGCTGTTCCTTCCCCCCCCGTTTTGGGGTCAGCTGTTTGCTCGGGTGGTGGGGAGGATTCTCGTTCGCGCCGTTTCCGGCACGGGTTCCGTCTTGTACTGCCCTGTTTCTGCTTCGTTTTTCTGTTGTGGGCTGCCGCTGTTTTTCCTTCTGGTTGGCCGAGTCCGAAAAACTGACAACGGGGAAAAATGCCCCGAGCGTTTTTGAGATGTAAGCTGAGCCCAGGCCCGAGGGGTTCGAGGGTCGGGGGTTCGATCAGGGGCATCGATCGGGGGGCGACACGCTCGCTTAGGACGAGATATTCGACGAAGTTCTCGGACGTTCTCGTCCGTGCTCGGCGGTCGTTCAGCCTCGGGACGCTCTCCAGCAGCTGCGCCTCGCCGAGAGGCGTCCGGAGGTGTCCGGATCGCCCCGAAAGGCCGCCAGAGACTCGAATCGTGACCCGGAAGTCAGGCGAAGAGGACCACTCGGGGTGATAGGCTCCGGGGAAGATGCATCGGCCTCCCATCGCCCAGCGATCGCCGAGAAGGGCCCGACAGCCCGCCGCGCCCAAGACCGTGCGGATTCGCCATCGGGGGCATTTTGCCAATCTATCGGCGATGCATCGCCATTTCCAGGTCGATGTATCCAGCCCTGAGCTGGTCCCCCCCTAACAGTAGGGACGCTGAGGAAGGAACCCTTTTCCTTGGGGAGGGGCTCCGTGTTCCTGAACTGTTTCACGGCTTGCCTTGGGTTTTCCTTCGTTCTTCGATGGGAAGTCGAAGTTTAATGTGTGGATAAAAGTGGTCTCGTTCCTTTGTTAGGGATCCTTAGGTCAACGCCCCGACTGTAGCGTTCCACCTCCAGGGATCCGAGGATCGAAGATGCGAGGTCTTTTGGCGTTTTGCCGCCCTAAGGCCTTCTCGTCGCGTCTGGTCCTCGAAAAACTCTTTGGCAGGTTGGGCCCCAGCAGGGTGGGCCGCGGGTTCGGTGTTCAAGGGGGGGGGGGAGGTGAAGGGGGAGGAGGAGGAGGAGGAGGAGGAGGAGGAGGAGGAGGAGGAGGAGGAGGAGGAGGAGGAGGAGGAGGAGAAGGTGGAGGAGGAAGAGGACAGCGGCCTGGAGGCGAATCTCGCGGCCCTCTCGTTCAAAAGGCCTTGAATTCTGAGGAGGCGGGGGGGGAGTGACTGGAAGAGGACTGTCTTGTCATGGGGTGGCCAGGGCCAGGGGTGGCCAGGGCCAGGGGTGGCCAGGGCCAGTTCAACCCCACGCTCGCCGTGTCCGCCGCGCTGCCCACGCTGATGTTTGCCGCTGACGCGGAGGCCAAGTATGGTGACCAGAGGAAGTGGCACTCCATTCTGGTGCCACTGACCACCCTGATCGTCCCAGGCATCGCGTTCGCGGCCTTCTTGCTGTACACCTTCTCCGACGACTTCGCGTGGCAGCTGAACCCGAATGCGCCGAAGAACATCGAGAAGCAGGCCCAGTACGACATGGTCCCCGCCTGGAAGAACCGCTCGGACCCTTTCAGGGGCCTGTTGAACAAGGACGACTTCGAGAAGGGCCTCGAGGAGGCCTGGGAGAAGGCCAAGCCGGCGGGCAGCACCGTGACGGTGAAGCAGAAGCTGGCCGAGATGTCCACCCAGAACAACCCCCACTTCATGGAGAACAAGCTGGCGAAGCTGAGAATGAAGGCGACGGCGGCGCCGTCCGCCTGACGGGCGGAGCAAATCGACGTGGCTGTGTGGTCCGTCGTCGTCGTTCGTCAGCCATCGTCCGCCGCCGTCGTTGTAGTCGTTCTACGTCGTCGTCGTCGTCCTACGTCGTCGTCGTCGTCGTCGTCGTCGTCGTCGTCGTCGTCGTCGTCGTCGTCGTCGTTGTCCATCGTCGTCATCGTTGTCGTTATTGTCGTCGTCGTCGTCGTCGTCGTCGTCGTCGTCGTCGTCGTCGTCGTCGTCGTTGTCATCGTCGTCGTTGTAGTCGCCCTCCGTCATCGATCGTCGTCGTCGTCTTCGTCGTCGTCGTCGTCGTCGTCGTCGTCGTCGTCGTCGTTGTCATCGTCGTCGTTGTAGTCGCCCTCCGTCATCGATCGTCGTCGTCGTCTTCGTCGTCGTCGTCGTCGTCGTCGTCGTCGTCGTTGCCCGTCGCTCGTCCGCCCGCCGCCGAGGCGAGGGCGGCGCTGTCCGCCTGAGGGCCCCCCGTGCTGCGTCGGGGCGGCCGCCGCCCGCCCCTCGGCCCACGACCGCGGGGGGGGGGGGGGGGCCCTCGCGGCCGAGGCGCCTCCCCCCCCCCACCCACCCCCGGGGGCGGGTGCAGGTTTTTGCTGGTGGCGGGCGGGGAGGGGGAGCGAGAAGGAGAAGGTCTCCGAAGAAGGCTTTCCCAGAGGCCCTCGCGCCTTCCGAGGAGTGGTCTGTGCAAGGGCCGAGACAAGTTGCCTGAAGGCCGCGGGACTTCCCAGCCTTCTGAGGAGGCTCGCCCCTGCTCGCTTCCCCCCCTCGCTCGCCGCCGATTGTTTGCAGGCTCTGCCGCCAAGCGGAGCCCTCGGTGCACCCCACGCCCTCTCGCCCCCTTCACGAGTGGTGAGAAGGTGCGGCGCTCCACGCCTCGTCGTCGTCGTTGTCATCGTCGTCGACGTCCTCCTCCCCACGAGTGGTCATAAGGTGTGATGCTTCATGCCTCCTAATTTCTATGACATGGCTTGGGGCCGAGTTGTATGAGGGATGACGAGGCGGAGGAGGAGGAGGAGGAGGAGGAGGAGGAGAAGGAGGAGGAGGCAGGAGGAGGAGGGAGGAGGAGGAGGAGGAGGAGGAGGGAGGAGGAGGAGGAGGAGACGAGACGAGACTAGCGCATGGAGTCCACACTTGTTTCGAACGACCACCAGCTTTGCACGGGATTCTGGGAGTTGGTAGCTTCGACCCTCACGAAAACCTTCTGAAGTATGTCTGCAGCTCACCCTCCTCAGCTGAGGCACTGGCTTGTCGGTACCTCTGGGGCACGCAACCTCGGCTGAGGGCCGGCTCAGTCGGCACGGGAGACAGCACACGCAAGCTGCTTTGCTCTTAGTGTTGGCTCTCGCCGGTCGGTGCTGTTCCTCTCCCCCGCCCCCGACTCACCGCCCTTCCCTCCCTCGACCAGAGCCTCGGCGAAACAGCACTACAGTTGGATACAGTTGGAATGCTTGGAAGCTCTGCCTGTGCATATGGTGATGGCATGCTGCGCTCCCCTGCCAACGCTCGTGCTGCTACCTCAGGGGATATCACACCCCGCTCTACAAGGGGTGCAACTCTCTCACTCCCCTGGCAGATCAATCACTGCTGACGATATCTCGCGCTCCATTGGGCCCCGAGGGGATATTCAAAGGAGAAAAGCGGCATACACATAAACTTTCGGAGCTCCGTGCGGATTTCGTGGATCTGTGCTGGACCCCCTTGGTGGCGCCTCTGGCGCCGCCCCTGGCGCGCTCCGCGCGCCAGGGAGGGGTTCCAGCGCAGATTCAAAAACTCTGCGCAGACCTTCGAATGTGTATGTTTATGGTGTTTTTCTTCATCTGGAAATGCACCATCAGGGGGCTATTCGGACGCACCCTTGTCGAGGATGCACGCCCCCGCCACCGTACCCAGTGTCCGATGCATTGTTCCCAACCGTCCTGTGGTGTTGGGCCTTCGTTTTCAAGAGACAGCGCGCCGCGTCTCCTCCCTCCTCTTTCCTCCTCCACCTTCCTCTCTCCCATATTCCTGCCTCTGCTCTCCGCATGTCAATTTCGGCACACCTCTTATACGCTTCGCGGCCCCATCGGGAGCTCCACCTGCGGCCCCAGCGGCAGGGTCCCCATGCAGTTCCACCCACCATCTCGGCGCGGCCCTCACACGTTTCGTGGCTCCATAGGGAGCTACACCTCAGGCCGCAGTGGCAGGGTCCGCATGCAGTTTCACCCCACATCTCGGCGCAACTCACATGCTTCGTTGCCCTACAGTGGGCTCCACCGAAAGACCCGTTGGCAGGGTCCGCACGCCGTTCCACCCCCCATCTCGACGCACTCCTCACACGCTTCGTGGCCCCATAGGGGACTCCATTTAAGGCCCGGGTGGCAGGGTCCGCATGCAGTTCACTCCCCATCTCGGCGCACCCCTCACACGTTTCGTTGCCCCATAAGGAGCCTCCCCAAAGGCCCTATTAGCAGGGTCGGCATGCAGTTCCACCCCCCAATTCAGCGCACCGCGGACACGTTTCGTGCCCTCGTGGGGAGCTCCACCTGAGGCCGCAGTGGCAGCGCCCGCATGCAGTTCCGGTCACCATGTAGGCACACCCCTCACTCGTCTTGTGACCCCCACAGGGAGCTCCATCTCAGGCCCCGGTGGCAGGGCTAGCATGCGGTTCCATCTCCCAATTTGCACGCCCCTCACATGGTTCGTGCCCCCATAGGGAGCTCCACCGAAGGCCCTGGTGGCAGGGTTCGCCTTCGGCTCCCCGCCCATTTCGGCCCGCCTCTCACACGGCTCGCGCCCCCGTAGGGAGCTTCGTCGAAGAAGATGTTCACAATTGCGGTGTTCACAACTGCATGTGGTTGGGTTTTTCGCCAGGATATTTCTTTCTAGTGCGCCGTCACCAGAAGTTCTGACCCGTTCCCCTGACAGATCTCCGACTTGAATTGTTCACTGCGCTGGAGGTCTGGCTCTGTCCCCGAATTGGGCCCAACATGTTCTGGACCATTGGAGACCCCAGGAAGTCTGGGATTGGGAGTATCATACGGTCGGGAACTTCTTGGTAGCGTGCGGCTCCGCTGGTCCTGGCGCACCGCGCTTTGGCGCGCGACACGCCATCCACTTACCAGTCCCAAGGCGTTGACGTCCCGAGCCTCTCCGAGCCTCCCGCCCCGCGGCGTGCAGCGACACGCTCTCCGCTTGCAGGGTAGTCAGCGTGTCGCCGGGGTCGCCGCGGCGACACGCTGAGCAAAAGTTCCCGACCGTGGGAGGCCTGCGCCTTTTTCGGCGGGCTTTTTCGTCGTCGTCGTCGCCGTCGTCGTCGTGGTCGTCCGTTGCCCTCGTCGTCGTCGTCGTCGTCGTCGTCGTCGTCGTCGTCGTCCGTGTCGTCGTCGTCGTCGTCGTCGTCGTCGTCGTCGTCGTCGTCGTCGTCGTCGTCCGTGTCGTCGTCCGTGTCGTCGTCGTCGTCGTCGTCGTCGTCTTCGTCGTCGTCGTCGTCGTCGTCCGTGTCGTCGTCGTCGTCGTCGTCGTCGTCGTCGTCGTCGTCGTCGTCGTCGTCGTCGTCCGTGTCGTCGTCGTCGTCGTCGTCGTCGTCGTCGTCGTCGTCGTGGCGATACGCTGAGCAAAGGCTTCCGCACCGCAACCCTTCCGCGCCCGCGCCGGCCCCCAGGACGTGCCGCAGGACCGGGGCAGGGCCGCAGAGCTCTGGGCGCTGGCGGCCGCGCAGGGGCCGCGAGGGGCAGCACCAAACTGCGGCACCAAACTGCTCCTCCTCCTCCTCCTCCTCCTCCGCCTCCTCTTCCTCCTCCTCCTCCTCCTCCTCCTACTCGTCCTCCTCCTCCTCATCCTCCTCCTCTTCCTCACTCCTCCTCCTCCTTCCTTCCCTCTCTCCTCCTACCCTCCTCCCCCCTCCTCATCCTCCTCCTTCTCCTCCTTTTCTCTTCTCCTCCACCTCTCCTTGTTCTCATGGCCTTCCACAGCTCACAGACGGGGTCAGAGTAGATGCGGTCGGAGGGTCGCGCCGCATCGCCGATGCATCGGCGATGCGGCTTCATGTTGAGCCTGGCTTTCTCCACGCCGACGGCGCCGTTGCATCGCCGACGTCGCTTGTACATCGCCGATGCATCGGCGATGCGGCGCCATCCTCCGACCCCCTCTATTCGGACCCCGTCTAGAAGGCCTCCATTGTCCAACTTATGCTTTGCTGGTGTTTCAAAGGCGTGGCTAGACGATTGCGCTGCTCCTGGCTGTTCGGCGAGTCTTCTTCCCTCCTGCTGCTCTTCTTTCTCAATTCTCCTGGCAGCCGACCTTCTGATCCTGCTCACGCACTGGTTGCGCTCCTGTGCACCGCTGTCTTTGCGTTCGGGTCGATACTGACGAAGCGCGATAACCTTTTGGATCATCATCAAATTAGCCTGGCGAAATACCCAACCATATGCAGCTGTGAGTGCCGTCGTTGTGAGTATCGTCTTCGTTGGATCTCCTTAGCGTGTGAAGGGTGTGCCGAGATGTGGCGGGGCTGCCATACGGGCGCTGCCACTGGGGCCTTCGAGCATCGCGAGGGACATGAAATGAAGCAGGGGGGCCATCAGCAGGGGCCACTAGGGCCTTCGGTGGAGCGCCCTATGGGGCCACGAAGCGTGTGAGAGGTTCACTGGAATGGGGGGTTGGAACCGCATGCGGGCGCTGCCACTGGGGCCTTCGGTAGAGCTCCCTATGAGGCCACTGGGGCCGTCGGTGGAGCTCCCTATGGGGCCATGAAACGTGTGAGGAGTGCACGGAAATCGGGGTGGAACCGCATGCGGACGCTGCCACTGTGGCCTTCAGTGGAGCTCCCTATGAGGCCACGAAACTTGTGAGGGATATGCCGAAATGAGGGTGGAACTGTATGCGGGCGCTGCCACTGGAGCCGTCGATAGAGCTCCCTATGGGGCCACGAAGCGTAAGAGGGGCTCACCGGAATGGAGGGTGGAACCGCATGCGGGCGCTCTCACTGGGGCCTTCGGTGGAGCTCACTGCGGGCCCACGTACCTGTGAGGATTGCACCGACATGGTGAGTGGAACCACATGCGGGCGCTGCCACTGGGGCCTTCGGTGGAGCACCCGATGGGGCCGCAAAACGTGTGAGGGTTGCACCGGCCTGGCGAGTGGAGCCGCATGCGGGCGCTGCCACTGGGGCCTTCGGTGGAGCTCCTTGTGGCGCCATGAAGCGTGTGAGGTGTGTGTGTGTGTGTGTGTGTGCCGAAGCAGTGACATGCGGAGGGTAACGGCAGGGATGGGATGGAAGGAGGGGGAGGAGGAGGAGAGGAGGACGCGGGGCTCTGTCTCTTCAAAACGAGGACCCAATACAGGATGGTTGGGAAATAACGCAGGAGGAGGAGGAGGACGCGGGGCGCTGTCTCTTCAGAACGAGGACTCAATACGGGATGGTTGGGAAGTCGCGCAGTCAAGATGCTGAAAATTTTGGGCCACTCTGGGCTCGGGAGGGGCTCCGGTTCTCGGGCCCTTCCTCGAACTTTGGTCGGGGTTGGGGGCGGCAGAGGGGGGCTGGGGTGGCCCAGCGCTGCTGGTCCCTCCCGGCCAACCAGAAGGGAGGCGGGGGAGGGAGGTTCCAGGTTCTGGGTTCGGAGATCTATTTACTTTACCCACCGCGATCCACCCCGCGACCCACCCCGCGACCCACCCAAATTTTTCCGGCGCCCGCGGCGGGCTGCTTTTGCAGTCGTTCCAGGTGGAGAATGTGCGACCCACCCGCGACCCAAACCGCGTTCAGTGTAAAAATCATTTTTTTCGGCGCCTGCAGCGGGCTGTTTTGGAATTCCTTCCAGGTGGAGGTGGAGAGCCCGCGATCCACCCGCGACCCAAAGTACGTTAACTGAACAAA